AGATCAAAGAGTCCCGCAAGGATCACGCCGCGAGCTACCTAAGAAAAGACTCGACTCGCTGCTCGTGGGAGGGAGGGGGAGGGAGGGGAAGGGGAGGTCCTTTGACGAATACTTATGGAAATAATCCCTCGCTTGGTCTTTACTATTTACGCTCGATAAGATGCACTGGATATGCATGGATGGATGGATAGGGGGAGAGAGAGAGAGAGAGAGGGGTTATGAATTGTTCTTTTATGATTTGTCTCTTGTCGACTGTTTTGGGCCCCTTTTTCTTCTGATTTGGAATATGTTCTCGTTGGAATTTATGGAGGACAGTCGAGGATCGATTTTTTAAACAACGTGCATTAAAAAATTTAGGGAAGGGAATTGCACAACGTTTTGAACTTCGTGGTTTATAAAAGGAAAAAATGAAAACGGGAAATGGAAAGAAGACGGTGAGTGTACGACAAGAAAGCGAAGAACACTCGAGGAAAAAGAAAATTTCTTAAGAATCTCTTATGTCGAGAAGAAAGAAAGAAGGTTTGTATATACACGAATAGTTTTGCCTCTTAGCTTCAATCGTGCAACCACCTATTATTTACAACCTCCTAATCTATGAATTATCTTCCAAAGAAAATATACTCGATTCCCTCCAACTCTTCTTTCAATTCTCTCCAAATCATCCGTGGACGAGATCCATCGTTCGAATTTAATTGTACCTCCCGTTTCCAAAAATAAAATCGAACAATTTCTTTCACACGGACAACGAGTATAATTCTCGATAAAAAAAGAAAAAAATTGGCAAAATCAAACTCCTCGAGGCGATCGTATCCTCGAAGATGATAACTTTCACGGAATAATCCTCGCGAAATCCCTTAAAATCCCGATTGGAAATTGGACTCGTAGGATCCTCCCTCCTTGGAACAAGATGAAGAAGAAAAAGAAGAAGAAGAACGCGTCGAAATGCCAAGGATCCTCTCCCTTCGTCGCGTGGCCGCACGAAACGGTTTCACGATCGTCTGGAGTCCAGCTGTCCGCAGTCCCCTCGGAAGGGTCTCCGGACGGTTGACAAAGCAATTTCACGTCCGAGCTGCAACGCGATCCGATGAGTTTCCGTTGGCCTCTTCCCCTCCACCCTCTCCCTCTCTGTCTGCCCCCCCTCTCTCTCACTCTTCCCCTGCCTCCCTCCGGTTATTTGCTCTCGAGGATTCGCGCGGCTCGCATTAATTGCAGGACAAACACGCGGCACGTTCCGCTCGCTTGACAATTTGCTCGACGACAGACCTAACAGGGCCATGTTTCTTGGACGTTGCCGGCCAGTCGGATGGACAATGGATTTCGTGCCGGGCCTCGCCCGCTCTCTTGGGGGTTAATTGGTCTTTTGGGAGTTTCTACGAGTAGGTTAGAGTTGTTTGACTGCCTTGGTTTGGGATGATAATAATTGCCGGCCACGCTTTTGTCGGCCAGAGAGGCGAGGAAGGGGTGGAAAGGTTCTTCTTCGCGACGACATCCGATTCTTTTCTTCTAACGAACGAATGGTTAAATATGGTGGTGAACCATAGAGGAGAGGTGTGTGACTTGAGGTTGGACAAGAGTATGGGTATTTGTAGTAAATGAAAATTGATATTTATTCGTGGCTATTATGTAGTCGAAAATAAATTATGGAAGTGAGTTCAGGTATTGAATTTTACTGAACAATATTTTTCAAACCGTACACCCTACTTCCTGTTCTTCCAAACTTTCTCTTATACAGAAAAATTTTTCAACAACGGACAAATTCTTCGACCATACTTCTCACCTCTGGACCCAGCTCGCGACATCCCTTGATCTCCATTTCGTGCAATTTTCATTATCCCAAGATCCTTATCCCAAGGGGTCCTCCTGCCATCCTCGAAGAAGCTTATTTTCACGATTGAAATTTTCCATTTACAACTCTATTTCACCACGTATCTGTTCGTGGACCCAAACGGACTCACGAAGACTTAATTTAATTTGCCAGGAGAACTCGCGTCAAACGAGTTTACCAACGCTGCTTTGCCTTCGAATGAGAGTGCTGTTGCAACAAAGAAGAAAAAATCTCGACAACATCTCGTTCGAAACGCGATTTTTCCAAAAATCGGGACAACATGATGGATCGTCCATATGGAAAGTGAAATCTTTTTCAAGGAGGTGGACCATCCCACCTCCTACCTCCCCTCCTCGAACGTGCGAAATAATATTAGCTCGAGACAGTCCCGATAAGACGGTTCTGCAACACCGTCGGGGACCGGTTATCGTTTTTCAAGATGGATGGCTCTCGTGTCTCGTGTATCGTTCTGGGGACAGGTGGGTGGCAAAAAAGGAGTCTTTCGCAGTCTGGCGGTCTTTGGAAAATTACAAGGAGGCAGGCAGGGGGAGAGGATAAGCCTAACTATACTTGGAACAACTATACTTTCTTCCTCTCCTCTCATCTCCTCCTTTCCGCAGTTTGGAGATTATTTTTTCTTTTCTTTTTTTTTAAGGGGTGAAAGTTAAGGAAATCGATCTCGATCGTGCTCGAGCGAGAAATAAATAAAACGCGGGCCGATTTCTCTCTTTTCAGCGGAAAATTCCAATTTTCTGAGCTATTTGACGGATCAATCGGGTCCGTCGATTTCGTTCTCCCCGATACACTTTAACCAGAAAGTCATGTTCGATCGTATCGTATACGTTCGCGATATAAAGGTATATTATCGTGGAAGGCCGGCAATCAGGATGTAGGGAGGGAGGGAGGGACAGTTGAGGGACCAGTTTGTTACCCTTGGCGAGGCAAATGGATCGTGATCGACATCTGGGTTGAGTCAGCACGGTCAACCAGGGGGGATCAAAGGTTGATTGTTTCGAGTGTGACTATATACTGTAAGATCTTGGATGAAATCCACCATTTTCTTTTTTTCTTTTTAATCATTCCACCTCGTGAAAAAAAATTAATTTCGATAATAACGATATATTATTTCATCGATCCCGAAATCGAAAACTGAAGATGAGATGAAATTTAAATTAAATCGACGAAAAAATCGGGAGAGAATGGGAGAAAAAGTGTCCAAATCAATCGTATCGTCAATTTTCCTCGTTCTGAAGAGAAAAGGGAGGAAGGGGTGATCTAAAAATAAGATGAAAAAAGGAGAAGAGAAAAATGGAGAGGGAACGAAGGGAGGCAGCCAGCCAGGCAGATAACCGAATGAAGATTTGTATGAGCCGGAAGATTTGTGTCAGCCTGTCGTGATTTTCATCTAGCCCCTTCTTCTTCTTCTCCCGGCCAAATGACGCGGAAACAGGGCAGAAATTAAAGTCGCTCGTTAGGGCGAAAACGGTTTCGAAGTCGAACGAATCGAACGGAGCCGTTCACCCGCGAACGCAGATTCGATATTCGAGACACAAAGGAGATTCGACGAAAGAGGCGGAGAAGATGAGTGGATCTCGTGTCACTACTTCCCTAATATTAAATTGGATCAACACACGTTTCACGGATATCCCTTGAATTGCCCCCTCAACCTTGTCTCTTTTTAATCTCTCGAGATAAATAAATAAATAAGAAAAGTGCGAGACGATCGTTAAATATGATCGTTGGTTTTTACCGACTGTCGGTAAGTTGTTTCGATGGATTATTTATTTAATTCTCGTTCCAAAGAAAAAAAAAAAGAGAGAGAGATTTGTGAATAATCGATTCTAGTGAATCGTCCATCGTCGTAAAATCTCGAATTCTCTTCGAGAAAAAAAAAAAAAAAAAGGGGGGGATTTGTGAAAAATCCGTTTTTTGGAATCGTCCCTCGTCGTAAAATCTCGAATTCTCTTCGAGAAAAAAAAAAAACAAGAAGAGTTTTGAAATTTCTGTGATTGGGTTTGGTACGATGTAGTAAAATGCAGGATTCGATTCAAAAAAAAAAAAAAGCGACGCGAACTTTTATCAGGGTGAAAAAATTATATAAACATTAAAATTCTCGTTAACAACGAATAAAAATTTCCACGAAAGCTTCCTCCTGATATATACACACACTGACGTTATCAACAATCGATGCCGGATAAACATAAAATCGAGGGAAAACATTGAATTGCAAAGCCGATAGGGTAGGGAAATTTTGACCTCGATTTTTTATTCAAACCTCTCCCTCCTTCCTCTTCTCTTCTCTTCTCTCCTTTTCCGTTACCCTTCATCATCATCCCGTTGCAAAATACGAAAAGGAAACCGAGGAGGAGGGTAACGACGTCCACTATCGACCACCACCGGATGG